GAAACACTGACCCAAGCAATTTATAGAAGGAAGAATTTATTTGAGCTTATGGTTCCAGGGGAATTACAGTCTGTCATAGCAGGGAGGCATGGTGGCTGGAGGTGGCTGGAGCAGGAGCAGCAGAAGCGAAAATCTCATATCATCACACAGGCACAGGAATCAAGAGAGCAACTGGAGATCAGCAAGGCTTAAGAACTCTCTAAGCCCACCTCCAGTGACATGCTTCCTCCAGTATAGCCACACTTTCTAAAACCTCCCAAAACAGCACCATCATCTGGGGACAAAATGTCTAAACACTTGGACCCTATGGGGGACATTTTCATTCAAACCACCACAAGTGCCAATGTATCAACAAAAAAGACAAGTAGAGTTAGACAAGGAAACCTTCCTCTTTTTGTGTTTCCCACAGAGTAGTATTTTACACAGATGATCAGTCAACACTTAAGCAAGTGTTGACTTTGCATAATCCTGATGAGTTCATGTTAAAGTTCAAAGTTTTGTGTACTACTTCCATGTCATTGACATGGAAGGTGCAGTAAAGCCTCAATGTTGTGTGGATAATGTGCTTTGTTATGGGGATGTTCCAGCCTGTCACTATGGTGTGATAGACAAATTCTGTCTCCAAGTTTCTGAGCAAAGCCAGAGTATGGCTTTAGGAAGGAAAAAGGTGATTGCTACTCTTCTCCCATTGGCAAAAGAACAACAAAGGGAAGAAGAGGAAAAAAGAACATTTAATGGAAAGTATATTTTTTGAGCAACCATGCCAATCAGAAAACAGAACTGTCTCTTCAGGATCTGGTTTGCTAGCTGTCTTCCTGGGAGTGGTTTGTATTGTGGTCCTGATGCTGCCTACTCTGTTCGATATGGAATTGCTGGTGCCTCTCTACGTCCACTTCAGTGTGAATAAAAAAATCAGTAGCTGCTTGTATCTTAGGTCCTATCACAATGGCTATACTTAGAACATGAACAAAGATTAAAACTGACTTTTGAAGTAAATTCATCTTGAAAATATGAATGTGGACTGCCTTTATCTCTATTTCACTCCATTAACACACTACAAATTATTGAATGATTTTGAATAACTGCAAATGTATATTTTTAATTAGTCTATAACTTTTTTTTTTTGTCTTTTTGAGACAGGGTCTCCCTGAAGCCCCAGCTGGCCTGGAACTCACTATGTAGACCAGGCTGGCCTCGATCTCACAGAGATCCGCCTGCCTCTGCTGAGACCAAAGGCATGCGCCACCACACCTGACTAATTAGTCTATAATTTTATTCAAAGGACTCTAACATTTTATATTATAGACAACAAGGATACTTCTGAGTGATACCTAAGAAATTATTTGAAGAAATTCTTTAGAAATCTATACCTGTTGTGCAAATAACTTTAAATATATTATTTTCTCATCTATTTTTTTTCTAATTGACTTTGATAAGGGACATGGGTCCTTCAAAGCTAAAAGGCCTAAATGAGCAAACTGGCCAGCTGGAAAATAAAATTGGACCTATTTCCTAGATATAAGCATCAACATTACTATGTAAATTATAGATTGTCCTCTATCGTTGCAAATAGTTGCTAGAGTGTTTCAGAATATCCATTTTGTAGTCACTGTGTGGGCAGTTGAAAAAGCATAAGGTACTTACTAAGGGATTATGCTTAACCTAGAGTCTCATAAAACACAGGGTGTTAATTCATCTTGTGAACTACAGAACAGATTGTGGTCCAGACACCAGGCACCTCATAGAAGCAGATTCACTTCTTTGTTTAGCCTGAGAGTTCTAACGGAAAGTTAGGCATCTGTTTAATTGGTTGGTTCATCCTGGCTTTACCTCTTGTTAATCTTTTATGTTACTAAGGGGAGAACCATGTTGTTTTCCTCCTAAGCCCCAATTAGGAGTATCAGATACCAGGTAGTTTCTGAGGAGATTTTTTTTTCATCTTTAAACTCTAGGCTAAGGCTAGAAAACCCTTGATACCTGTGTCTATTTTGTATCAGTCAATGAGACTTTTTTTTTTTTTTTTTTGGTATTTTTGAAACAGGGTATCCCTGAGGCTCCAGCTGACGTGGGGCTTGCTATGTAGACCAGGCTGACCTCAAACTCTCGAACTCACAGAGATCCACCTGCCTCTCCCTCCCAAGTGCGGGGACTAAAGGTGTGCACCTCCATGCCCGGCACTGAGACATTTTTTTTAAAGCTTTTATTTATTAAGACAAATTTACCAAAAAAGTCCCCTAAGCACAACTATTTACATTACTTTATAGTATTTTCTGATCTCTAGTAGATATGTAGTTTTAGCTGTTCTTATCAGACCAATTGATCTTTTGTTTTTGGATTCTTATTTGAAAGTACAATGTATTGAGTCTCTTGAAAATCATCTTTCAGGTGTTTTTATGGAATAAACTTTATGCACTGCGACAGTAGCATTCTTGAGGAATATATGTAAACACAAATGTATGCTTGAAGTTGATTTTTTGCAGGAAACATTACTCTGCTTCTAGAAGCTTTTTGCCTAATATTTCATAAGAAATCATTGTTCAACCATTTGTTGAACATAAATCATTCAGTGGATTATGTCCATACATTGTATAACGACTGAAAAGCACATAAATGTAACAGACTTTGAACTCACTGAAAACTATGTTTGGGGAAAAAAGAAAAGAAAAATAGACCCCAAAGGTCATTTCTGCCAATGTGAGGACCATCACACCTAAGCCCTTGGACACTACGCTATAATAGACATGAATGCTTCTGCGAAACCACACACATTCTTTTCACAGAAACTATTTAAAAAATCCTTTCTGATCTGGGGGTGTGGCCCAGTGGTAGAACACTTACCTGGCATGTGGCTCTAAGGTCAATCCCTAACCACCACTACCACCACCACCACCACTATCACCACAGCAACAAATCCTCTACCTTCTCCTACTCTACACTGACACTTATACATCTATATATCTACACACTTGTACAAGGAAAAGTGCTTCGACCACTATGTCATCAGTGTGCCATTTAGTACATGACCCAGATCCTTTATCTACAGGTCTGTGGGATGGGGGTGTGTGTCCTTGATCAAAAGATAGTTCATTGATAAACTGGACAATGTTGCTATCACCTAGAATGAAAAGCTAGGCTAGGCCAATCAGATAATTCATCATAAAAATTGGGGTTACAGGGGAAGTTCCAGGCCAAGTGGGGCTACAGGGAGACCCTGTCTCAAAAAAAAAAAAGAAAAGAAAGAAAATGAGATTGCGATTTCATGATTCAGTGCAAATGAAACCCAAGAACTCTTTCAGAGTTCTATTGTAAAGGTCAAATCTAGTCTGTCTTACTTTTTGTGCAGCCATGTTTGCACACACACACACACACACACAAACTAAATACAGTTTTACTACAACATTAATTTTGCATTTTCTACTTATATATTGGTATTTTCATACTAAGTAATATAACAGACTGTATGACTTTCAAACCCTATAGAGCATTACTGTCTACAGAAAAAATTCTTTCCAACCTCTGATTTAAAGGATTCATTTCAACAAGTGCAGCATATTATGTATAAGGAATTACGGCTACTTGTAGACATGTTACTATTTCATAACACTCCCCCAGAGAATACATAGTTCTGTTGTGAATGCCTACCTAACTTCTTTAGTGCAGTGGGCAGCTGTGAGGACCCATCTGTCTTTCACTAGCGTACCTCCACATATATGAACAAGAAGATCGCCATCTTGAACCTGCAGGCTCACTAGCCATGGCCATGCGCCCTCATGAGCTTGCGAACCTCCTATAATCCGAGACCCTTCCAGTGCATCCCTAAACGGTGCTATTCCGCAATCTAAAACATAATGATAATAATACATTATTTGGACTGAACATCTGTAGTTATGTGTTACTTCTTAACCTGAACACATTAACAAGTTCTACTTTAAAGACTGATAAGGCAAGCTGAATAGCAAGCTCAAATTGTGACCGGTAACAGAGTTAAGATCAACATGCCATACTAAATTATTTATAAACAGAAAAACATGAGATCAACAGCATCTATTGCCCAAACGTACAAAAACATATTTCTCTGGCCAAGTACCGTGTTTCTTTGTGAAACACTGATAAAGAGCCGGAGACCCAGCCAGCACGGTAGTGTACACCTGTAATCCCAGCATTCAAGAGAATGAGGCAGGAGGATCATGAGTTCCAGGCCAGCTTGGGCTACACAGTGAGACGTGTGGGGGTGTGGGGGGGATTTTAGAGACGTGGTGGCTGGAGATTGGCAATTGTGTGTGCAGGTACCATGTATGTGAGCTGCAGGTTCGGTCCCCACAAAACAAACAAAAACTGCAACTGATAAAAACTACAGGTTATTCAGTCCTCGCCATTTAACCTGTTGAAAGAACTGTTCTCTAGATTATGAAGAGGTCACCTACCAGCTTTAAACCCTGAACACTAATTAATTTACAAAATGACGAGCGTCAGAATCCTCTACAGGATTACTGACACCACTACCAAGGGCGAGAAGCTGAGGTCGGTAGCGTTAGCGTGCGGCAGTGTGGAAGGCGGTGTGGACCGCCCGCGGGGCGCCGAGGCTGTGCCTGAGGTGGGGAGGCGGGGCACAGACCCGGACGGACGATACTGCCCTTCGGGACACGCCGGTCCTCCGCCGCCTCCGGCCCCTGCCCGCCGGCCTGCCGCGACCCGAGCCTGGCCCCGGGGGAGCACACAAGGGCGCCGCCCAGTAGCAGCAGCGCCTCCCACAGGCCCCACGGTCCCATGGCGCTCCCAGGCAGCAAGATGGCGGCTCGCGGGCCGGTGCCCGGATGGACGTTCCTCGGTTCACTTCGTGGGCGGAGCCCTTCTCCTGCAGTCTACGGCGGC